AGAAGTGGCGAGAGTGGACAGCGTTCACTCGTCTTTAAATTGGTTTCATAAGTTAAAATATTTTTTTTGATGAATGCGGACTGAGTGATTTGTGGTCTTCCTCTTCTCTTGTGGATCTTTCAGACAATACAGATGTTATTTTACATACTTATAGTAATCACCTGATGGAAAGGGATTTTCTGGCTAGAGCGCGGTCGAGTAGTCTTCAAGTTTGGCCATTTCTTTCGCTTAATAGTGGAGCTCAATCTTATCTTACTGTTAGGCTTGACTTGGAGACTAAAAGATCTTTTGTTTGCATTCGCCTTTTAAACAATTACTCCAAATTTTTTTATTATCGTAAGAGGAGATATTTATTACCAAATAAAGAACTCTGCTTATTTTGTGATTCGCGGCGTGAGGATTTTAAACATTTTCTTGTTGATTGTCCAAAATATTCACAGACTAAATTGGAGCATTTCCCAGAACTAAATGACAATGAAGACCAGGGGTCATTTTGGTTGGAGGTTTTCTCATCTAATGATGTGAAAACTATTAGGAGTTTTGTTGCGATGTTTGTTAACATGTTGAGTATCCGTAATAATATGGTATGAGTGTGGTTTATATTTATTTCTTGTTTAATGATTTTTATAGTGTGAATGTTTATTTTGTGTAATTTAAATTTATTTTACATTTTATTTTTTGTTATCGTCTCAATCAGGACTTATTCCTTATTTTTGTATGGGCTACTATTGGTCTAATAAAGAATTACTACTACTTTTTATTTGGATCAAAAAAATATGTATTTGATTCAAATAACTTGAATTATTTGAATCGCATTTATTTGAACCAAATACATCGTATTTGGTTCAATTAAATAATTGATTGAATTGAATAAATAAATTTATTTAATACAAATAATGAGTTACTTGAAACTATTCATTCATTTATTTCACTCAAATATTTCGTTTATTTGATACAAATAAAAAGTATTTGACACAATAAATTTATGTAATTGATTCAAATAAACTGAATTATTTAATACAAATAATTCGTTATTTAATCCTAATACACTATTTTATCAAGACAAATAAAAAAATATTTCAATCAATTAAATATTTATTTGAAACGATAATAATGATTTACTTGAAACAATTTATTTATTTATTTCACTCAAATATTTCGTTCTATTGAAACAAATAAAAAGTATTTGATACAATAACTTTATTTAATGGATTCAAGTAAACTAAATTATTTAATACTAATACACTATTTTATCAAGACAAATAAAAAAATAATTCAATCAATTAAATATTCATTTGAAGCGATAATAATGATTTACTTGAAACAATTTATTTATTTATTTCACTCAAATATTTCGTTTTATTGAAACAAATAAAAAGTATTTGATACAATAACTTTATTTAACTGATTCAAGTAAACTAAATTATTTAATACTAATACACTATTTCATCAAAACAAATAAAAAAATATTTTAATCAATTAAATGTTTATTTGAAACGAAAATAATGAGTTACTTGCAACTATTAATTAATTTATTTCACTCAAATATTTCATTTTTTTCATACAAATAAAAAGTATTTTATACAATAACTTTATTAATTCTAATTAATTAAATTATTTAATATAAATAATGTGTTATTTAATGTTAATACACTATTTTATTAAAGGAAAATAAAATATTTTGATCAATTAAATATTTAAGTGTAATGATAATAATGACTTATTTGATACTATTCATTTATTTATATATATTATTTAATATTGTAAGTCCAAAAGTCAAATATTTTTTCATCAACAAAAAATTAATGTTTACAATGATTCAGAACAACGAAAAACGCGTTTTTAATAAAAATATATTTACACTATTTTTGAAAATTCACCTGGGATGTTTCATGATAATAATCATGAAGCATATAATTAATTATATTTTATAAATTGCATTTAATTGGAAAATATAATTTAATATCTTAATTTTAACTAAATGATGTTAAGCGTTTTTCTGAGTTAGGTATTTTGCAAGTTTAAATGACATCAAGAAGTTAACATTCGTTTTCACGTAGCGTAGTTGGTAAAGCGTTATACTCATAATCTGTAGGTCATAGGTTCGTTTCCCCCCATGCGTTAGATTTATTTATTTCTCAGGTTTGCGTTTAATAATTAATTCTATGTAAGAATTAGTTGAAAAATGAAAATATGCGATCATAGTATGCAGAAATTACATATTTTTTAATTTATTTAAGATTTTAATTTAGAAATGGAAGAATTAGTAAATAAATATGTTATTTATTCAATTAAAATTTTGATTTATTTGAATCAAAAAATTCTTACATTTTATGCAAATAAATTATGTATTTGGATCAAATAAAATAATAATTGCCGCAATTAAAGAGGTTTTAGTTTTAATTAAAACAATTACTTATGACAAATAATCGAATATTTGATTCAAGAAAATTTTTAATTGTTTGAAGAAAAATATTTTATTATTGCAAATAAATATTTATTTGAATCAAAAAACATGCAGTATTGAATGAAATAATTTTCATAATTGATTCAAATAATTATTTATTAGCTTTGAATATTCCATTTATTTGATTTGAATATTTTGTATTTGATTCAAATAACTATTTATTTGATACGATAAAATAAAATACTTAGATTTAGTAAGTGTGTATTTGGTCCAAATACATATTTATTGGATAATAGACAAGTAAATGATGTATTTGGATCAAATACTTTTTGTTTGATCCAAATAAATTTTTTTTTCAGTGTACAACATATCACACCTCGGTAGTGTTTCTTATCATTTTAATTCGTTGATTAAAAAGAAAAAAATTCCTAAAAATATTTCTGTGAAACATTCTTATTAAGGAATTAATAAATTTTATTTTATTTTTTATAATAAATTGTTAATAATAATAAAATATTTATCAACTAATTAAATTTATTGAAAATAAAAAATGGACTTTCTATACTTTTTTTGTATTGTGAATCGACTAAACTGACTTATTTTTCTTTGAACAGTCGATCCGAGGCGAGGCCTTCAATTATAAAAATATAAGACAATAATTTTTAGAAGCAAAAGTTTGAATTGTAAGTTTCAAAAATTATAATTTTTGTAGCATTTTTAGAAATTTGATATTTTTCTAATACTTTTCATAAAATTCTCTAAATCTTCCCTGACCCGTGGCAACCTTTTTATACATATTTTTTTTTAATTGAATCTTTTCTATCCCTCAATGTTAAACTTTTCTAACTGCGCAAAACTTGCGTTGTGCAAGTGTTGATGTTGCCAATATGTTGCAATTGTTCATTTCATGAGAAAAAGGACCTTATGGTAAAAGCATTTTAAGTAATATTTGTAATTTCTGAAGTAAAAATACACAAAAAAATATTTGTAATTTCTGAAGTAAAAATACACAAAAAGAAACAACCCTCATAACAAAAGGATATCCATATCAATGGTCGATATCCTAAAATGGTCCCCAGGATATCCAAACCGCCGGTCTGTGGGACATCAACAGGACATCCATAGGATATCCCTAAGACATCCACAAAATATCTATAGGATATTATATCCTCAGGATATCCATGGGATATCCTCAGGATGTCCGTGGGATATTCTTAGGATATTCACGGGATATTTAATATCTCAACATATATTTTTAAAGGTTAAAATTGTTAAGCTAATATAATGAATAATAATATAATAAAAACAAAAATCTTATGAGCTTCTAATTTATTTTAAATGAAGATTTGAAACGCATTTTTCAAAGTTTTTAAATAAACTCATGCACTTAATGTATAATTAATATTAATAGTTATTCGTTATTTGCGGGGAAGAATTTATATTGTTTAAAGCCAATTTATTTTCTGACAATATTAAGCATATGAATAAAGGAATGAATCACGAATGAGAAAAAAATTAGTTAATAATTTTTCAAATTAAACAACTTTCTCGAAAAACAAGTTGCATTTTATTTTATTTATATAAAATTTAATTCACAGAATATTCTCACTCGTAGTCTCATAATGACTTTAAAAACAGTATCCTGAGAATATCTTCTTGACATCCAGAAGATATACTGAGAATATCCTGAAAATATCTGTGGGATATCCTGACGATATCTATGGGATATCTGGAGGACATTTATGAAAGTCTATAGAGATATCCAGAAGATATCCTCAGATATCCAAAGCCTATCCATGGGATATCCAAACCGCCGATTTTTTGGATATCCTTAAGAGATCCTTTTGATATCCCTAGGATATCTGCGGGATATTATCAATATATCCCAAGATATCTTGTGTTATTAGGGAACTGTTAACAAAAAACATTTATGTTAAAGTTTTCAATACATTCAAAAAATTGAATAGAAACCATTTTTTAGATTACTTAATTAATTAGAAATTTTTTATAAAATTAAAACGGTTAAAACTATGACTATAAACATAACCTAAAATTTCTTCATACCATCAGGTCCCTTTGCTAGTTGAGTGTCACATGTAATTGTAAATTTATATTACAAAATTTTTAACTGTGCTAATAAATAATAACAATAATAATGTTTATTTGAAATAATTTTTTTATGTATATATACATTTGTTACATGCTGTTAAATTTCGATATTAAGGTTAAGTTCATTTGCAATTAAATACTCTAAATTTATATATTTTTCTTTTGAATTGGAAATAATTATGTTTATACGAACAAAATTTAGCTAAATTTTATATTCAGTGAAACTTAAATAAATAATACTTTATTTCACTGAGGCGTAAGTATAGCTTTTGCAATTTAAGTTAGTGTTTATAGGTATAGTACACCAGGTAAAATAACTTTTCTAAATATACACTTGTACAGAGTTAATGTCAAATCATTTTAGGTCATAAAGAAAAGTAATTTTGACATTTGTCAGTATTTAATTTCAATAATTTATTTCTTGGTTTTTGTTTTAAACAATGTTATATATTTAAAAAAAAACAATTATTTTAACTTCACAAACCTTCGAATAATTTCATATATTAACGGCAAAATTTCAACTTCTAAGTCATCGACAGTAAATAAACTTGTTCTTTGTGTGTCAAGTATTTGCACAATGTCCATTTTATTTTTAAAACAAAGTTATAACAATTCAGTTTCTTCTTTACCTGCAAATAATCAATGACGTATAAAAATATAAGAAAACAGAGTCCTCTTTTTTTAAGCAATTCCCGATGAGCACAAACATTCGCCACCTAGCGGTCGTTTGAAAAAAAAAACTTATATGAAGTTGTGACGTCTGGCTTCTGCTTCTAGTAATAGAGGTTCTACAATGGGTACAAAACACTGAACTCTATATATCTAGAATGCTGTCTGCCATTGAAAGTCGCGAACCGAGAGAGAGGGCTGATTCTTGTATTCCCCTCTTTGTCGGTACAGTTCCATTAGAAAATATTTAACAGTATGTATACGTGAACATGACATAACACAGTAAAGGCTTAAGCACAACTGCTTCGCGAACGTGAAATTCGTTCCCGAATTGTGAACCTGTTGTGAAGCTTTGGTGAAAAATTGTAAAATAAAACCATTTAAAATGAACAGAGGCGGCAGGCCCAAACACTCATCTTGGGACAATTTGAATTTTCAAATGATTAAAACAAATGGACAATACGAAGCACTTTGCTTAGTATGTCAACAACTATTAAAAAATCCTGTTCAAGACAAACATTTTTCATTTCAGTTTTACAAATTAAACAATTTATCATGGTTTTATTGTCTAATTTTGTGCGCTCAAAGTTCAAGTCCTTGTATAGAATTGAACTTCTTTTTTTGGAACCATTTTAAATTCGTTGTATTTTAATTAATTTATAACAATCACAGGCACTAGGCAGGCCACAAGAATAAACAATAATCAATCCAATAAGAGCAGGCCTGAATAAGGGGTTATGTTTTGCTGCACTCCGCGTGTTTATCAGACGCCATATTTAAAATGTAAATTACCCAAGTTTTTTACAGTTTTCTACGTAAACAACTTCGAGTTACACGTAACTGCACAATCCTGGTCAGACATCATTCCAGATATATAGAGTTCAGTGGTGCAAAAGCCAAGTACAAGTGCAAGTCCAAATGCAAATCCCATGAGTGCAAGAGAGATAGATAGACTACCTATCCCCTTCGCACTCATGAGATTGCCACTTGGACTTGCACTTGTACTTGGCTTTTGCACCTATTCTGGAACCACCTTAAAATTTTCTAGAGAACTCGAAAATAAATGAAATGAGTCGAGAAATTTCAATCGAGATTTAAAAATTTAGACTCATTGTCAGATTTTATCAATTATAAAATTTACTAGCGCCTCTGATGGCCGCAAGCGGCCGTCTTCGTTGCTTCTGTTCCTTTTTCAATTTTCTATTTATTTATTTCATTTAAAAAATGATTTAATTTCTTCTTTTTTTTATTTCATATCAATTCAAAATGTAAAGAAAAAATTTATGAATGTGAAATAAGAGAGAGTGATTTACGCTATATAATCTCTTTTGCGCTAATCATTTTCAAAAAATTTCTTTAAAAACAATATTTTTCACTATCTACACAGTTGCAATTATGTTCATTTTTGTTTTTTATAAATTATTTATTAATAATAAAGGAAAATAATATATTATATTATGTAAGTGTTATATTAAAATGAATTACATATTTTAAAATTATCGCGCGCTAATTATTGCGACCAATTAGGTGGCTTTAACTGAATAGGTTATGTTCATTTCCATAACATAACAGCTATTCTCTAATCTAAAAGGATAATAAAAAACTTAAAGGAAATTCGAAATTTATTTCCGCTTTGTGTAAAATAGTGTTGTAATGATTAATTTTTTGTATATATGCAATTTAAACATTTTCAAAGTTTGTGTTTTTGATAAATAAGATTTATATGTGTAATATAAAATTTAAATATTAGCGCTTATTTTTGACGAAATAAACTTCAGCTCCACCTGTACATTTCTAATCTAGAAATATGTTTCGCCCTTCTATTAAGATTTTACATTTCCCATGCTTTTAATTAAAAGTTCGATTTTTTCGAGAGTTTTCGATATAACCATTCGACCTTTTTATGTCATGTATTTTTTTAGAAAGAAAAAGGATATTTGTTGTTATTTAACAAAAAGAAAATACAAGCTAAATATATATTGAAAAATCTTATAAATATTATTTGATATTGTTTATAATTAGTAAATATTTTTAAATCATGTAAAATTATCGTTAATAATTTTAAATGATATTAAAATGAGCGTAAAAGTATTTTTATAATAATATTAATTATGCGATTAAAATTATATTTATAAAACAATTGTTAATAAATAAACAAAATGTTAAATTATAAATTAAAATTATTGAAAATTGTAATATTTTATTATTTAGGAGTTTTGGTATTAAAATTCAATATGGCGGCGATTTTTCTTCTCAGTGAAGGCCTGAGCAGAATAGAAACGTAACCATAATCGCAATCGCAAACGGAAGAATGTGTTAGAGAAGAATAGTCATATATTGTTGTTCTTCTCTTACTAATTCTTCCGTTTGCGATTACGATTCCGGTTACGTTCTATTGTGCTTATGCCTTAATGCAATGACTCATGCGAGATAATTAGAGATGGGTACGTAGAAAACCTCGAGTATAATACAAGGTATTTTACGTGCAATGTACACGTATTATACATGAGTTTTCTACATGTGTATTATACATAAGGCTAATTTTGAGAAACATAACCCTAAATCTGCTTGTTTCGAATTTAAAATTTTCAAAAGTTCTGATATTGGCAAAAATTAATTATCGATGCTTTGATAAAATTTAAATTATATTAGTGTTTCTCTTCTAACTTGAGAACGGAAGCAAATTTAAAATTTTAACATTTTAAATGTGCTTCCGTTCTCAATTTAGAAGAGGAATACTAACCCAAGTAGCACTGAATATTGCTTGAATGTCAAGGTGATATCAAGCAAGAATATTCTTGTGACATTCAGGCGATATCATAATGTTCACTTCATGGGGACATTCCACGGTGATATTCCTGTGATATTCGTGTAATATTCGTATGATACCGAGGGAATATTCCCGTGAAATTCATGTAATATTGAAGGGATATCCCTGTGATATTGAGCGGAATATTCCTCTGATATTGAGAGAATATTCCTGTTATTTATAAAATTTTAAAATGTTGTTTGTTTTGAATAAATAAATGGAAAAAACTTAGCAAAAATTTTTTCTTTAGAATTTTTTAAATTATCTTATCAATATCACTGGAATATTCCCTCAATATTACAGGGATATCCCCTCAATATTACATGAATTTCACGAGAATATTCCCTCTGTATCAAACGAATATCACGCGAATGTCACAGGAATATCACCGTGGAATGTCCCCATGAAGCGGACATTATGATATCGCCTGAATGTCACAGGAATATTTCCACTTGATATCACCTTGACATTCATGCAATATTCCGTGCTACTTGGGAATATAATTTAAATTTTAGCAAAGCATTGATAATTAATTTTTGCCAATATCAGAACTTTTGAAAATTGGAAATTCGAAACAAGCAGGTTTAAGGTGCTTATATACCTCAAATTTCGATCAGATGAACATTATTTCTGGACCGCGAAAATGCGTGAAAAGTCATTTTCACGGCGGGTATTTTTGAATTGTTTTAAACAAAAAATGTTTTTTTTAAGAAATATAATATTAAATAATTGTTTTAATATGTAAGAACACTTTAAAATAGTGATAAAAAGATGATTTGATTGAAAAATTTAGCAAATTTTGCTTTAAAACGTTTCTGCTACAAGAAAGTGTAAAATGACGATGTTTGTGAAATGGTTTGTACAGTGTACATGTGTACATGTTTCTTTCAGTTATTCGAAACAATTAGTTGAATTTAAATTTATTTGATAAACATTTCAACTTACCGATTTATTTTCAGCACTCATTATTTATTACAAGTTAAAAAGAACCGACATAACATAAACAAAACTCTGAGAGACACTAACAAGGAAGAAGCACTGTACAAACCATTTCACAAACATCGTCATTTTACACTTTCTTGTAGCAGAAAACGTTTTAAAGCAAAATTTGCTAAATTTTTTAATCAAATCATCTCTCTATCACTATTTTAAAGTGTTCTTACATATTAAAACAATTATTTAATATTATATTTCTTAAAAAAACATTTTTTGTTTAAAACAATTCAAAAATACCCGCCGTGAAAATGACTTTTCACGCATTTTCACGGTCCAGAAATAATGTTCATCTGATCGAAATTTGAGGTATATAAGCACCTTTAGGGTTATGTTTCTCAAAATTAGCCTTATGTATAATACACATGTAGAAAACTCATGTATAATACGTGTAAATTTCACGTAAAATACCTTGTATTATAATTGAGGTTTTCTACGTACCCATCTCTGATGACACTGCACATGCGCTCTTGTTCGAGAGTCAATTCCATTTAGCGAACAGGTCACTTATGGTCCAGTCACCCTAGCCGAATTCCGATAATATATACACCATTATAGTTGAGTCTCATTTTACTTCAGGTGCTTATATACCTCAAATTTCGATCAGATGAACATTATTTCTGGACCGTGAAAATGCGTGAAAAGTCATTTTCACGGCGGGTATTTTTGAATTGTTTTAAACAAAAAATGTTTTTTTAAGAAATATAATATTAAATAATTGTTTTAATATGTAAGAACACTTTAAAATAGTGATAGAGAGATGATTTGATTAAAAAATTTAGCAAATTTTGCTTTAAAACGTTTTCTGCTACAAGAAAGTGTAAAATGACGATGTTTGTGAAATGGTTTGTACAGTGTACATGTGTACATGTTTCTTTCAGTTATTCGAAACAATTAGTAGAATTTAAATTTATTTGATAAACATTTCAACTTACCGATTTATTTTCAGCACTCATTATTTATTACAAGTTAAAAAGAAACGACATAACATAAACAAAACTCTGAGAGACACTCACAAGGAAGAAGCACTGTACAAACCATTTCACAAACATCGTCATTTTACACTTTCTTGTAGCAGAAAACGTTTTAAAGCAAAATTTGCTAAATTTTTTAATCAAATCATCTCTCTATCACTATTTTAAAGTGTTCTTACATATTAAAACAATTATTTAATATTATATTTCTTAAAAAAACATTTTTTGTTTAAAACAATTCAAAAATACCCGCCGTGAAAATGACTTTTCACGCATTTTCACGGTCCAGAAATAATGTTCATCTGATCGAAATTTGAGGTATATAAGCACCTTAAGCACCTTTCGTGCTTCCTCCACCCAAATTTTACCACCATGAAGTCGATTCCAAAGAATCGATTGATTATAATCATAGTGGCGAATCGATTCTCGGAATAAAATTTAAATCGACTTACATGCTACTAACCCATCCCTAACTCATCAGTTCAGCCAGTGTAAAATTCTTAAAAGTTGAAAGGTGATATTGTTTTATTACAAAAACAAGATGAAAACAAAATGTCAGTGTGTGAATTATGAAATAAATTTTATTCTTTGCAATTACTAAGAATAACATTGAGTTTTATTTGATTTTTGGGTTGCGTCACTTTATTCAAACAAATCAAATGAAATTGTAAGAATCCGCCCAAGTAGTTATTTGCACGAATGGCGTCAGGATGTTATTAAAAAAAATGTCAAATCCAAACAATCATTTTCCTTTTTCCGTTTTCATAAAGAATTATGAGTGATTTAAGATAATCTATACATGTTGGTGTAAAAATGTTGTACATAACCATGGATTTTATACAACAAAATGCATACAGGCAAAAATACTTCCTATTAAATGTAAGTGTTATTTATATTCCTATACTTTGGAATTTAACTGTCAAAAGATTAAATAAAAAAAAATCAATTTTTTATTTGTTTCGAAAAATGTAGAATAATACTTTAATTTGTTTTCACTTTATATTCTATTTTTATGTTGAATATATTTTTTAATATCGCCTGAAAAACATTTTTAAATTGCTCAACATGTATTGAAATTTTTATCTTTATTTGTTTACATAACTTGATAAATATTATTTCAATAGAGATAAATCCGATTTTTTTTTGACACAATTTGAATAAAATCTATCTACAATTTGTATTTATAGAAAAATCGAAGGTGGATAGTTAGAGAAAAAAAATTTTACAGATTATTTTAAAGTAAAAGTAAACAATATGTAGGGTCATTTGGGATAAATATAAACAGTAAATGTTTGGGATTCATTTTTAGTTTCGTAAGTAATTACACAATTAAAATTTTAAACATATCAAAAATATTGACCTGTATGATATCGACAGGTTTTTTCCTGCTCTTTCGAATGGTGCAAAAAAATTTTTTTTAAAAATTCAAAATTTACCTCTTTTTTTTGAAAATAAAAAATATTTTTTACTTTTTTTTTAATAGCAGACCGTTTTTATATTTTTTTTTACTTCTTAAAACATAGCTTAAAATGTATGCTTTCAATAAATAAATTAAATAAAATGTCGTTTTTTCTGTTTTCGAGATACTAATTAATAGATTCTTAATACACTGAAAAAAAAAATTTATTTGGATCAAATAAAAAGTATTTGATCCAAATACATCATTTACTAAATCTAAGTATTTTATTTTATCGTATCAAATAAATAGTTATTTGAATCAAATACAAAATATTCAAATCAAATAAATGGAATATTCAAAGCTAATAATGTAGAATTTTTTGATTCAAATAAATCAAAATTTGAATTGAATAAATAACATATTTATTTACTAATTCTTCCATTTCTAAATTAAAATTACATATAATAATCGTGAATATCTTTCGTTCATTCTGTCCACACCTGAAGTTAGTATTTGTTTATTTTAATTATTAAAAATTATAAAATTGTTAGAATCGTGCAAAAAAATTGTGAGGATTGTGAGAAAAATTGATTCGATTGCTGTTAGAGTAAGCTGCATAAGTTGATAATTTTATCAAATTTCAAAAATTTATTTAATTAAATCACGATAATTTAATTAATTTTAAAAATAATAAAAAAAATTTTATATTATTTATTTATATTATATATTACAAATTAAATTTTTTTTTATTTTCACAAAACATTTATTTATTTTTGTTATAATTAGAAAAATTTATATTATATATATATTTATATTATATATACATATAAATTTTTAATTTTGACTACCCAGATAGCCAAGCGTACTAAACGTTATTTACGAGTACGGAGTACTGGTATTATACTAGTTTCATACCAGTACAAAATAATTATGTATGTACGTACCAGTGCAGTACTAGTATAATAAAAGTATGTCGTACTGTTAGAATTATAAAATGTGAGTACTCGATAAAAGTATAGTACTAGTACAATGCCAGTACGTCGTACTTCTGAAATAAGAAGCACAGCATACTCGTACGATACAAGTATAATACTGGTACGTCGTACTGCGACTCTTTGATGGTAATGCCAACCTAACCCCACTTTCTTAACAGTTGTCAAATATTGTCAAATATGAACGCGTCACTGAAAACGGTGCAATAAATGTTGGTGAAAAAAGTGGTTTATGATGCAGCAAAAGAGTTTTAACGTGTGTAACTTGTGATTCTGTACTTATCTTGAATATCCGTGATTAAATTTATATTAAATTATCAATTTTTATGAGACTTATGTTGTTTTGCTTTGACATGACGCTTTGTGCCACGGTGTTCTTTCATTGAAAAAAATCTAAATCTTTTCTTTTATAAACTTTTTTATACATTTATATTGAAAAAAATTCGTAAACTTAATCTTGATGGTATTAATATAAATTGAATTGTGTTACTTCGCTATAGTTTTTCTTATACATATAACATATTTATAGGTTAGGATGTGATAATATGTTTCACCCAACATCAAAACAATTTGAAACATCAAGTTTAAAATTCTTTTGAAATAATGTTTAAATGTAAACAAATAATCAATTAATATTTGATAATGTTAAGTAATTAAAATAATATAAAACATCGGATATTTTAAGATAAGTGAGAATACAAGTTACATATTTTATATAATATATGCAAAGACATATATCATATAAATAAAAAAAATTATTGAATAAAAATAAATAAAAATGAATTATTATTATTTCAGTCCTCCCAAAGATTTTCCTTTTTAATAATAAATTAAAATAATTAAAATACTATTGTAGAAGGAGAGAGGGAGGGGGTATAGAATTTTTACTTTATACAGCATACCAGTATTGTACCAGTACAATAACGATACGTTATACTAATTCACAAAAGACTTTCAGTACGCCATACTTTTATCGTACTAGTATTGTACCAGTACAGCGTACCGGTACAACGTACCAGTACAGTACCCAGTACGACGTACTGGCATTGTACTAGTACTATACTTTTATCGAGTACTCACATTTTATAATTCTAACAGTACGACATACTTTTATTATACTAGTACTGCACTGGTACGTACATACATAATTATTTTGTACTGGTATGAAACTAGTATAATACCAGTACTCCGTACTCGTAAATAACGTTTAGTACGCTTGGCTATCTGGGTTAATATAAAATTTTTTAAAATAATTTTTATTTAAAATAAAATTTAAATTATTATATTTTATGTATATTTTTATATGTTACATTAATTAATTAATTAGGAATATTGAATAATATGTATTAAATATTAAATTTAAATAATTTATAAATTATTTATTTATTAATTTAAATTTATTAATAATAATAATTATTATTTATTATTATATAATAATAAAAAATAAAAAATTTCATTTAATAACAAATATTTTTATTATTTTTTGGTTATAATTTTTTTTTGCAAAATCTTTTTTTTATTATAGGCAATTGAAAATTTATATATTTCATATAATAGATTAATAATAATTATTATTATTTATTATTATATAATAAAAAATACAAGACCTTTACCGATATATGTTATATTAAAAATTATCAATTTAAATTTTAAATCGAAAATTTTCTTGAATTTGAAAAATTGCCGACAGATAATCAAAAAAAAAATCAAGAAATATTTTTTTTATTTGATAAAAATTAAGGAATTATTATTAACAATGTAATAATATTATAATAAATTAAAAATATTATTGATAATATTAATTTAGATTTCTTTATAATAAACAATCAAATCCCTAATTTCGCGCGTTTAATTTTGCTATTTATCCAATAAATATGTATTTGAACCAAATACACATTTACTAAATCTAAGTATTTTATTTTATCGTATCAAATAAATAGTTATTTGAATCAAATACAAAATATTCAAATCAAATAAATGGAATATTCAAAGCTAATAAATAATTATTTAAATTAATTAAAACTAAAACCTCTTTAATTGCGGCAATTATTATTTTATTTGATCCAAATACATAATTTATTTGCATAAAATGTAAGAATTTTTTGATTCAAATAAATCAAAATTTTAATTGAATAAATAACATATTTATTTACTAATTCTTCCATTTCTAAATTAAAATCTTAAATAAATTAAAAAATATGTAATTTCTGCATACTATGATCGCATATTTTCATTTTTCAACTAATTCTTACATAGAATTAATTATTAAACGCAAACCTGAGAAATAAATAAATCTAACGCATGGGGGGAAACGAACCTATGACCTACAGATTATGAGTATAACGCTTTACCAACTACGCTACGTGAAAACGAATGTTAACTTCTTGATGTCATTTAAACTTGCAAAATACCTAACTCAGAAAAACGCTTAACATCATTTAGTTAAAATTAAGATATTAAATTATATTTTCCAATTAAATGCAATTTATAAAATATAATTAATTATATGCTTCATGATTATTATCATGAAACATCCCAGGTGAATTTTCAAAAATAGTGTAAATATATTTTTATTAAAAACGCGTTTTTCGTTGTTCTGAATCATTGTAAACATTAATTTTTTGTTGATGAAAAAATATTTGACTTTTGGACTTACAATATTAAATAATATATATAAATAAATGAATAGTATCAAATAAGTCATTATTATCATTACACTTAAATATTTAATTGATCAAAATATTTTATTTTCCTTTAATAAAATAGTGTATTAACATTAAATAACACATTATTTATATTAAATAATTTAATTAATTAGAATTAATAAAGTTATTGTATAAAATACTTTTTATTTGTATGAAAAAAATGAAATATTTGAGTGAAATAAATTAATTAATAGTTGCAAGTAACTCATTATTTTCGTTTCAAATAAACATTTAATTGATTAAAATATTTTTTTATTTGTTTTGATGAAATAGTGTATTAGTATTAAATAATTTAGTTTACTTGAATCAGTTAAATAAAGTTATTGTATCAAATACTTTTTATTTGTTTCAATAAAACGAAATATTTGAGTGAAATAAATAAATAAATTGTTTTAAGTAAATCATTATTATCGTTTCAAATGAATATTTAATTGATTGAATTATTGCTTCCTCGTGGAGGAAGCTATGTAGTCCTTTCGTTTATAAACTTTTTAAAAATGGTGAAAACAAATTTTCCTCTATATAGAAACATGTTATATGAGATCCTGATCAATTGTCCGGATGTATGTATGTGTGTGTGTATGTGTGTGTGTGTGTGTATGTGTGTGTGGATCGTTTTTGTGAACACGATATCTTTAACAGGTTTTAATGGATTTGGATAAAATTTGGTAGGCTTATTTAACACATTAATCTCTCAAAAATGACGAGAGGATTTTTAAAAATACCCCAAAAAAAAAATTTTATCGTCTTTTTTCCAAAAAATTTTTTTTAATTGAAAAAATTTTTAAATCGAAAAATTTAAGGTAATATATATTATAATCGTCTTCTTTATGTCAAGATGAATCGATTGATATATATAAAGTATAGATTTGATTGAAATTTAAAGAATTAAAGAAAGTTAAAAAATAAAAAATTCTCATTTTAGCTAAAAAATGATGTGTTTATTTAAATTCATGTTTATATATGAAATAATTTTATTCCCTGCATTGAAACAAATTGGATGGTATATATAAAGTATAGATTTGATTTAAAATTTGAGAATTAATATATAAAGTTTATGTTAGACTCAAAATTAATTAAAATTTTCTTTATTTTTCAAAAAATTTAATTAATTTAAAACATTTTTAATTCGAAAGTTTTTAAATGAATCAATTGAATTGGACAAATTCATTGCTTCCTTCACGAGGAAGCGAATTTTTTGCTTCACTATGAGGAAG